AGAGATATGTTAAAGCGGACATGCGATGCGGCACCCTCAACTATAGCATGGGCTACTACTCTGGCGCTCTTGAGAGAAGACTCAACATCAATTTCAGCATGCAAGTCGGCCAGGCGAGATTCGTACAATTCCAAGTGAATCGGTCGCCAGGGACCACAGGTTATCAGTTCGGGACCCCAATCCCAGCCCTGCAAGATATTAACACTCTGTGGCCTTGGGCTATGTCATGTGAATAATCCGACTTACCCAATGGTACTGGGATTTCCTTACACCAAGACGAGAAATATCCCCATTCCAGCAACCCCACTTGTGATCTGGATGTTTTTCAATCTCCTTCCAGCCACGAAGGTACGCAGCGTCAAACGTAATGACCAGCTCGTTATCACCTGTCTTTCTCAATACATCGCTGACATCAACCCTTTCAGAAACTAACATGTTGTCAGCTTCTAGTATTATTTTGCCGTTCAGGACCACTGTGGCAAAAGTGTCAAGCCCATCGAAGGCAAGTACGGCCTTTGCCTTGCCATTGGTCTCTGGTGAAGAGAAGATTGTTTTGTATGTCCAGGCCGTTTCGCCTATCCACTGAACTTCGTTCTCATTCTGGCCAATATAAGGATCTGGAATGAGTTCATGGTGGAGAAGATCAAGATGAATGTGTGTGGGAAATTGAGACACGGCCAGGTAGGAAGCATCATCCTTCTCGGCTTGTTTGAACTGCCAGTTCTGGTTAATGGGGATACTAGTTCGCGTAAGCATTTTAAGGATATTTGCGACCCCTATTCAAATAGATAGACTGTGGTTGGGGACGATAGACATAAAGAGGCTGATGAGGGGAAAAAAAATCAGAGTTGGGTTTTGCCAGAACCAACTCTATGAGATATTTCACCTAGAGAGATTGCGCTTGACAAGTTGACAGCTTGGCGGGTGACACTGGAGGGGCAGTGAGGGGCAGGTAGCTCTGGCATGGCAGTTGGGGAAGGAGCATCCGAGAAATTGGTTCACGACTTGAGCTAAGACAAATGGCATGCAAGTATCGACAGTGATACGCCGAGATTACGCACAACACCATGATATTCTTATAAGCGTGTCCCTTCCATCGTGAAACCAGATGCTTCGTCGCCCAGTGTTGTCCTTCATATATCCGGCGCGATGAGTTGGACTGACCCTAGACGGGAATTCATCATGCCGCTAGCTCTACGCCCCGATCCACCAGCTGCCCCGCCGCCGTCCCGTGGCTCTATGCCTTTGATGGAGACATGACACATGCAAAGACAGGCCTGCCCCGTGCAGAATACACCGAGATGGTATTTGTTTGTGAAGAATATGGAATACAGAAATGCTGAGTAATACATATACTGCAAAACTCGTAGCGAATGGCTCGGTCCATTATTATGTGCTCATAGGATGTCATAGGTAAGGGGTAAAGTATGCCAAGGCGAACAAAATCAGGACGAGGACAATAAGGGTGTCTTCAGTCCAGGAAAAGAGAAACAAAAACCGCCCCTCAGCTGCTTTCTTCCAGCAGTGTCTCTCCTCGAGACATCTATTCTCCCCAACGCCGGCAACGCTGAACGTAACAAATGGAATGGCACACAGCAACATGCATGATCGGTGACTCGAAAACGAATACTTGCCAAATGGCTTCAATAGCCAGGTATTTCTTGCTTCTCCCACAGTCGACCGCACATACGTCTCTCCGATCAGCAGCATCCTCCACCTCTTCGATTACGACTGCTTAGCGTAAACACTTCCTCCCACTCCCTTAACCCCCAGTTCTGATTCCTGTTCCTCCCCCGCTTGCGACGTCGTAGGCCGCTTATGTTGTCGTCGATTGTGGCACCGGTCATGGAGCTCTTAATACTGCCGCCGTCGCTGGCTGTGTTCCAGCCACCACCATCGCCGTATTGTATGCCGCTCATGGGATCGTCGGGGTCGATGTCCCCCAGCTCGATCTTGGTTAATATCATTCGCGCGAGGCGGGCAAACACTTCTTCTACGCCCTCTCCATTCAACGCACTGACCTCTGTGACCACAGGGATCCCAGCAGTGCTCGCCCATCGGGTTGCTTCCGAGGTGCTGATTTCTCGTCCGTCAGGCGCAATCGTTGCTCGTTGCTGCGTACCAGCGCTAATAGAGCCGCCGTAGTCCCTTCCCGTAATTGTTCCGGTTGTGCTCGTAGTAGATATTGAGAGTGAACTCGCACCACCGGCCGTTATTGTAGAGGTCGAACCAACACTGCTGGGTGTTGGCGGTGGCAAGCTTGTATCGATCAACGACTCAGAAGCAAGGTCAAGTTTGTTCCCAACAAGCATCAGACTCAAATTTGGTGATGCAAGCGCCCGCGCATCGTTGAGAAATGGTTGAATACCCCGGAAGGATGCATGTGATGTAATGTCATAGACCAAGATGGCACCAGCCGCTCCGCGGTAATATGATCTTGAAACCGATCGAAACCTTTCCGTGCCGGCAGTATCCCATAGCTGAGTGAAGTTGGTCAGAGTGCACACTGGCAGACAAGACAGGATTTGGGGAGAGTTATCCTCGTACTTGGAGCTTGATTCGCTTCCTCCGCGCTCCCGTTCCGACCTTGATAATCTTGCTCGCGAACTCGACACCGATTGTTTGTGACGACAAAACGCGCCACTCGTTTTTGACGAAGCGATGCAATAGGCAGGATCTGTCGCAAGCCGGTAAGCGGAGCTCCCATGAGGTCCGAGGCATATACTTTGCAAGCCCAAAGCCTACTTACTTTCCCGTGCCACTGGGTCCAAGAAGTATAATCTTGGCTAGATAATCATACATGCTCCCTAGCTCCTGCATCCGTCGTCAGCGCCACCACAGGCTATTCCGCACATTCCGAGGCCTCGCAAGCGTACCTGATCGCGGGACGTACCCGTGCTCTCGTCACTGGCACCAGAGGAACCTCGTGGCCTCGCCATAGTGGGCAACGGTGTGCATACAACCTGAGCGATTCAGTTGCAAGTTGAGTTGAATGCGCATGGGTGATTGATGTTGAAAATCTCGACCAGCGGCGAGCAAAAGGATGCTGGTGGCTGAGGAGTGTGGATTGATTAGCGACGTGAGATGAACATGACATGATGCGCATCTCCTGGCAGCGCATGACGCGACGTCGGTGAAGATGACTAAGCATATTGGCTGGTAGAGTGAGCCTTCGAGTTGTCACATATGCGTTTGATCGACGAGATCTTAGGCCCGGAGCTACACATAAATTTTATGTTCATAAGGCAAGAAACAAGATACATGAATAAAACAACAAAAGTTTTCCAACCCTTACATGTGTGCTCAAAGGGGAGGATACACGTTTACCCTTCCTTTGAGTAACCTTTGAAAAATGGCACAAACGGGCAAACATTGTGGTACACTACGTTCGATGCCCGCGGCAATAACAATAATTTGGCTTCCTGTATTTTTCGTTGTGGAACACGTACGCAAATGAAGAAGCTATCATGCCATGAAGCCTTACTCTAAACATCGCCACAAACCGAGGCGGATACTGCCTTCATGCTTTGTACATTGTGAGATAGCTGACCTAAATAGGCAATTTGCGGGGCAATGGCTTACTGCGTGTCTACAAGGAAGCTTCTCAGCCGAGGTTCCTCAACCTGGTGGCCAGTGACCACAAGCCGAGCACATCCATTTCCTCATTCACTTTCAGTTTCAAGAGAATTTCATGCGTCCGACCCTGGATTCGAGCAGCATCCTTTCACTATGAAGATTGAAAACCGCACGTTTCTCATTTCCGGAGGGTATGCAGCCACCCCGTTGCCACGACCTTTCACATGTTTACTGACATGACCTGCAGAGCCTCCGGCCTGGGCAAAGCATGCGCTCTTGAACTCATCAAGAACGGCGCCAATGTTGCCATCCTTGACATGAATGAAGATGGCCATGAACTTGTCAAAGAAGTTGGGTCATCTGCCAAATTCTTCGTGTGCGATGTTTTGAACACGGAGAGTATCACAAAGGCTGTTCAAGGCACAGCCGAGTGGGCCAAGGCTTCAAACAAGCCGATTGGAGGTGTTATACCTGCTGCGGGAGTCTCGACTCCGGCCACGGTATGTTGAAAAGAACTCAAGGCCGACAAGCTGAGAAACGAAAGCCCTGACTTGTTGAAGATCCTGGATCGAGATGGCGCCCCCTTCAGCCTCGACGACGTCGACTTCGTCCTGGGCGTCAACCTGCGCGGGACTCTGGACCTTGTCCGCCAGGGCGTGGCTGAAATCGCCAAAACAGAGGAGGGACCGGACGGAGAGCGCGGCATCGTCATCATGGTGGCCAGTTCCGCCGCCTTCGACGGCCAAAAGGGTCAGATCTCATACTCGGCCAGCAAGGGCGCCGTTGCCGCCATGACCTTGCCCATGGCGCGAGATCTTGCGCGCTTCGGTATTCGCGTCGTGACGATTGCGCCCTCGCTGTTTGAGACGAGAATGACTAGCATGATGAGCGGAAAGGTGAGGAAGTCGCTGGAGGCCACATTTGAATTCCCCAAGAGGTCGGGGCAGCCGGAGGAGTTTGCAGGGCTGGTGAAGCACTCGATTGAGAATGTTATGCTTAATGGCACTGTTATCAGGTTGGACGGTGGCTCAAGGCCGAGTAAGATTTAAAATTGGACTTTGTTGGCTGGAGATACTGGTCCAACAACCGCAGGCAAGGGGGCGCACCAGGATACATGAAGCGCCAAAAAAATATATACTGATCGCTTAATGCTACAATAATTCATCTTCAATGTTCAAATACACGGACGTGAAAACAATTACCTCCGTGTAAGCAACTATTGGGTTACACGGTGCGACCTGGCCAGTATCACACAGTGTGCACTTCCGGACATGGCGGAATCACCCGAAGCCTCAGGAACTATTATTGCCTTTGCTTATCAATCACGAACTATTATATCAAGGCGACAAGGACAGGAACATCGCCCACTTTGAATTGGGTCGAATTGCAAAAAGTTGGTATTCTTTTTTAACCGACTGGCCAACATGGTCACAAACGTAGCTGTGCTCGACGACTACCAGAGCTTCGCACCCCCTCACTTCGACAAGCTCGACGCCAACTTTGCCGTGACTTATATCCCGGATACCCTCCTTCCTTACAACCATCCAAATACGCCGCAAACTGTCAAAGATGAGATTGTTAAAAGACTGGAGCCGTTTGATGTCATATGTGAGCTCCCCCCTCCCCTCAGACGCGACACTCGGAAATGTTCAGCTCGTAGCTCACCATTCCAGCCACGATGCGGGAACGCACACCCCTCCCAGCCGATCTCATAAACCGCCTTCCCAACCTCAAACTCATCCTGAGCTGCGGCCGCCGCAACAAGGCTATTGACATGGATGCTGCGCAAAAGCGCGGCATACCCGTCACCGCCGCCACGGACGACCAGGCCGGGCCGGTAGACAGCACCACCGAGCACGTCATCGCCATGATTCTCAGCGTTACTAGAAACATTGCGAAGAATGACGCGGCCGTCAAGGCCGGCGCCTGGCAAACAGACGCCGTCACCGGCGTATCCGGCAAAACGCTCGGCCTCGTTGGTCTAGGCCGCCTGGGCGGTGCGGTGGCGCGCATCATGAGTCTCGCCTTCGGCATGAAGATTATCGCGTGGAGCACCAACCTGACTCAGGAGGCGGCGGATGCCCAGGCCAAGGAGCAGGGCTTGCCCGTCGAACAGGCCAACGGCGAAAAGACCTTCAAAGCCGTCAGTCGCGAGGAGCTGTTCGGCGCGGCGGACGTGGTGAGTGTCCATTTGGTTCTGTCCGACCGGTCAAGGGGCTTGGTCACGGAGGCAGACTTGTCCAGGATGAAGCCGTCGTCCTTCTTCGTCAACACCTCGCGGGGTCCGTTGGTGGTGGAGAGGGACCTGCTTAATATCCTCGAGGCTGGCAAGATTAGAGGCGCCGCGTTGGATGTGTTTGATCTGGAGCCGTTGCCGGGCGATAGCGAGTGGCGGAGGCCGGATTGGGGCACGAATGGGAAGAGCCAGGTGCTGGTTACACCGCACGTTGCGTACGTCGAGGAGAGAAGCATTAATGGGTTTTACGAGCAGCAGGTGGATGATTTGGTGGCTTGGTCGGCAGGCAGGCCGTTGAAGCGGACAATGTATTAAGGTCTTTTGTTCATGGGCAAGTATGCGCCTACTTTTAGGCTCGAAGCTATGGCCTATCTCTGGTTGTCAACCCATCGGATAGGTTGTTTAGTCATGGGGTTGAGAAGATCAAGGTTCTGAACCTAGGTTGCTTCAGTGAACATGGCCGCCTAGTTCTTTGACGAGTTTGATGTTGGCGTTGTGGCAACTTCTTTGTTTGTCGGCAGTCCTTCATGCTGGTGAGAACTGCCTTCTGCGTACGGAGATATTCTGCTGTCACAGCGTCGTGTTCCAAGTTCAAGGATAGCTGGCAGATAAGCTGCCCGGTGGTGAACTTGTTGGTTTTTACACAAAATTTGTTGATGGTACAGTACTGTGCAACGGAGACATCTGTGATGTTGCCGTGATTCTCGTGTAAAGGCGGGCTACGAGGCAAGTGTGAACGCGGCTTTTGCAGTGGCGAACCAGTGTATCACGACGAATGCGCTGAATAGTCGTTTATGATATTCACTCGTAGTTAAGGGGCTAAGCATATGAGCACTCTGCAAGAACAGTCCGAGAGCAGAAGCTGAACAGATGACCGACAATCAAGGGCATCAGGAGTGAGGTCGCCTTGGGCCGATCGGTGCCATTAATGAACCATTAAACAGACAGGAAAAATCGCCCATGAAGCAGGCTCAAGGCTTGGAGAACAGGCGAATATCTGCTGAACTATCCCTGTATTCCTCTTAAACATGGCTACTGCCCGTATCTCTGCAGCTTGACTTTACTGCAGGCGAATTCTTGTCTACCATTTAAAATGTGCTGCTCCTCTCCATCCCGGGCACTCAGCCTTATTACTTTATTTACCGTGCATACTGGCAACGTCATGTTGTTTCGTTTTATTTTCATCACTTTAGATGGATCTAAGCCGTTAACTACTCTATAATGCCTTCCACAACATGCTTCCTGTGTGGCTTCGCGATCCTTGAAGGACACCAAGTACGCGCTGGTAAGTATGGAATCTGCCGAACTCGCCTGTCTAGTGTTGAAGTAGATGCTAATGTAGGCAAATATGTTGCAGTGTATAAAAAGGCACCATCTGACGACATGTAGGTCGTCTTGCACCCGAATATCGTTCTTGTCCCGTAACAACTAATGACTCAAGTACGCAGCAATCGCAATACACCGACCACTGACGTCCTGCTCTCGAATCTTCTTCCATACGACGATGGCTTTCTATGGCTACAGAATAACTTGGAACATCCTATGCTTATTGCCTGCGTAACCACCAACGAACGGCCAGAGTATCATGGCTTGCTATATGGCTTCCGTCCCTTCCACGAAGGACCAATTCGGCCTGGTTATCCAATTCACGAACCGTGCTACAAAATTCTTTGGCAAGTCCAGGGGGGGTTGGACATGAAGGCAGATCTACAGGCCATCTTTGACGTCTGCACATCGTTCCCTTTGAGCAACGAAGGCGCCTTCTGGGGACACAATCATGAAATGCTACAACCGCTCGCGCCGCCCGAGGGGGAGGATGGCTTTTTTAACTTGTATAGCGGAGAGTCTTTCTCATTAGGGAGAGATTGCCACTATGCCGAGAGTCCCATGGACCCGAATGACCTGCCAGAGATGCATGAAATGATGGCGAGACTTGAAGGTCACCCCAACCCTGTTAAAGGTGCACAAAACAGCATTAGCATATGCACCAAAGAGACGCCGCGAGAAGAACGAAAAACGTTGCCATGCGTTTCAAGGACATCGCCTCATTTATTGCGAACGCTGCCAAACGAAGTCATTGCGGAGATTCTCATTTATCTACATAGTGCTAGCGTGAGGAACCTCCAACTGGCGGATCCAATCTTTACCGATTCCCAAAAGTTCCTCAGATTCTGGGAGTCTCGGTTCGCTCCGGATCGTGATCTCTGGTATGTGTACGAGACGATGCCTCGTGGCTTGGGCGACCGGTGGGATCTTTGGTATCAGCTGTGCATCAAGTACCACAATTGTCGTGCAGCTATCAACCGGAGACGAATATTGCGATTGACTCACCGAATGTGCCATCTCATACATCAAAGACATGAAAACGCCAAGCTCATGAGAGGCTCGCCATCAGACATTACAAACGACGAGGCCTTCTGGCAGAACGATGGCCATGACAACAAAATCTCATTGTGTACGGTGCCAAATATAACGGGGATAATTGATCAAAATATCGAGCTTCATGACGACCTAAGGCATGTTGCTTTCTCTTTCACCACGGTTGCTAGTCAGCGTTACATATCTGGACTTCGACTCTACGGTGCCAATAACGAGGAGAAGACGCTGGGCTACTTTCATTCCAAGGGCTACTCAACACCCTCTTGCGGTTATCAGAGTCGGGCGGGAGAATTCATCACAGGATTCGATATCGCCCTGGATAATCTCGGGGTTCGGGGCTTGCGCGTTCTCACAGAGTCTGGGAAGCCTTTTGAATGGGTAGGGGAGCATACAGGGCTTCCAAAGCGCAGGCTTACTGCTGCCTTTAACGACGGCAATCCCGTCCCGCGATGTGTGAAGCAGATCAGGTGCAGTTTCGATGCAAGTCACCACCCGTCACCCCCAAACTAGAATGTGCTATGACTAACTGACTGACTATAGGGATTCAAACTCGTCGGCATCGCCATATGCTCTACCTCTGATCCGTGGCCCTCCGTCTCGCAAGATGACGAAGGGTTTGCACGGGAGGTCCGGCGCAAGGACCAGCAACTAGATCTGCGCATAGTGCCTGGAAAGGAGACTTGGTATCCAGACCTACCACCACTGGGTTTGAAATACGTTAGATTGAACAAGGCTGACCGCCCTCTGCAGCAGCCGTATCATTATTGCATCTTTGGCGGATCTCGAGGAGAGCGGCTGCGATACCTCAAAAGGGTCATCATCAGAGCAGACAAGCATGTGCGCTCTGTAGGTTTTCATTTCGATAAGGACGGCGAAAGAATGGAGCAAATGGAATTCACCCGGCCACGCTACGGACTCAAACTCGGAGAAGACCTGGCCATGGTTTCGCTCGCCATTGACGGCGCAGGAGGGGAGCGGATTACCAGAGTCGAGAGTGTCCTTGACCCTTGGACCAAGATACTAGTGAGCCTCCAGGTGAGCCGTCGACGTTTGTCTATTTATTACTATTAGATATCTGACGTGTTGAAATCTAGATTTTTACCAACAAGGGCCAGACAATCTGCTCGCGGACTACTAGCAGCCCAGAGAATGCTACCCGCTCGGAGAATGCGCCGAGCAAAGACACAGTAGACATTTACGACATTACGCAAAGTCCATGTGAGACGGGAAGAATTGTGGTGGGCTTCTTTGGCACAATGACGGCTCACACTTCCCAGGGCGGTATATCAAGCATTGGGGTTGTGTGCATGTAGCCCCCAAGCACTGCCGTGATTCGAGAAGGGGCGAAATGTCAACTGAGCTTCTTGTCAATACGTTTTACGATACCCCGTACATTTCATTTACAAAGGGCAGCGATGCAAATACATTTGGGTCGTCTTGAGAATGTTTCAAAAGGCCTTCATTGTGCATCTAATGAAGACGACCAACCAAAATATGGCCTCTTCTCGTAAGAGGCCTAAACGCATCGTGTCTTACATTGAATGGAACAAGCAGTCTGCTTCCCTTGCACCGGGATCAAATTCAGTTGCAAATTCTTCTCCACCGTCAACCTTGGTTTGCCTGGACACGCTGGAGTACTTATGTGGAGATTTGCCGTCAAAGAACCTGCTCTTATTCTCTCACCCGCGAGCCAATCACAGGAACCGTATAACTCTAAAGTAAGTTGAAACGGAGATGTTGAAGAATTTGCGCCCCCCTGCCAATTGAAATTCCCCTGCTCTCCTTCGCTATGACCCCGTATCTGTCAATGTGGCGTTGGAGCCATTGACTTTATCGAGACTTTTGTGTACGGTTGTTCAACCAAGCTAGCAGCATCTGTTGATGACAGATGGCTGGTGAGAGTGCAATTTTGGTTACATAGAGCTATGGTGTATTTTCTGAATAGAATGAATTTGCATCTTTAGGTTGCGGCGCAAGAAACGTGACAGATGCCTGGTCGGTAACTGTTGGTCTCGTATGTTGTCGCGCATGAATGATAACTCCGTTCATGTCGACACCGCATTCGGGCCCCCCAGTTTATTTTTATTATTTTGCAAGATGGTGCCAATGCGTCGAGGTGGATTAGATACCAATGAAGAAGACAAAGCCGCCCGAATTCTATTCAACTGAAACGTGGCACGTGGAGTTTTGCTGTTTCTTTGCCAAGTAACTGCCAATCGGGATATTGGACGATGGAAGGTCATCTCTCCACTATTTTGCATGACCAAGATATCTTCTGGAAACAATCACACGCATGTAGATATGTACTACCAGTGACTTGTCCCTGGTTTCCTGAATCACCGTCGCGGTGCGACTCTGATTGGGCCTGACTTACACCGACCAAGCCGACGCCCAGTCATGGCAGTTACGCAGTTGCAACAGATTAATGATGCCCTACAAAGACCGACACCACGCTGACTCCCTTCAAACTTGAAAATTGATTTTGTAACCTGGTTTCCTTCAGCGTTGAGGATTTTTGACCCACAAGCAGACCCCAGACGTCTGACTCGACATAGTCCCTTTGCGGATACTCTGAGCGCAAATGAGCAACATGTCGGGGATGGAAGGGTTTAAACATGACAAGATGTCGTCTTGGCAGTAAACTACACCAGCCCACAGCCTCAAATAAATACTCCGGATACTCCTGTCCGTCTAGACCGCGTAGCAAAAATACCGCCGAGCTGATGTTGCCAACAATCCTTACGAGCTGTCAACGTTGCATGAGGACCGAAAGACTGCCGGCGAGATTCGATACCAGCCTTGCTCCGTCTACAGACAAGAGGAGCAACAACTCGAGATTCGGATAATGGCGTCCAAATGGATCGCCTGCGGGCTGGTCCTGCAGGCAGGGCTGGCCGCCGCCGACGGAACAGGAATGGTAGGGCTAGGCAAGACAATGTACAACCCGCCTTGCGCTTTTGCTTGCCGCGCCTCGATTTCATCCTGCCCGCTGCTGTGTACGCCAAAGGGAGAAGACGCAGAGACACCGCCGGAGTGCTTCACAACCGACCAGGCTTTTATGCGCACGCTGGCGCTGTGCATTAGCATGTACTGCAGCCAGTTTGACCACCCTTCACTCGCCAAGATCGAAGACTACTGGGAGTCGCATCTGGCTTCCAGCACCGTGGCAAAGTTCGAGTGGAAGCCGGCCATGTCCTACGGCGAGGCACTTCGCCTTGCCAAGATTGACGAGCAGAATGCTGTTGGACGCAGTCAGACTTCAGCCGGCGGCGGTGACCACCACGGCCACAAGCGACAGCTGCTGCCCCGACACGGAGGGAGCCATGGCTCCGGAGACGAGCACGACGAAATGGACCATGTGGACAGCCCCTTGCCCGTCATCAAACCTCGGGCCCCTCTCAATGTCACCAGCGTGGTGGCCCAGAAGGACTGGACCAAAAGCTACAACGGCGCCAAGGGGTTCGAGATCAACGAAGCCGGCCATGCGAAATACACGTAAGTACGACGGGGACGATTCTGACCGCGCTGTGGTATTGTGTTCCTCTAACGAGAAAATTACGCGCAGCCTCGTTCTTCTGCTGGTGGCGCTCTTCGCGCCGGTGGTCCTCTCTCTGGTCCGCTTCGTCCCGGGGCTCAGTCGCAGCCGCACATGGCAATGGGTCAGCTCGATGCTCGTCGAGCCGCCGGCATGGGGCAAATCGCACCGCGAGCCCGTGTCCCCGTACACGGGGGGCGGGCTGATGCCCACCAGAGGACAGGCGCTCTACATCCTGCTCATCTCCGTGCTCAACACGGTCTTCCTGGTGGCCCCCTACGCGGCACTCTTCCCGCAGACCTCGTTCCCGTCGGTAGAGTCCATGGAGATCAGCACAATCGGCAACCGGGCCGGCGTGCTGGCAATGGGCAACATGGTGGCGCTCTTCGTCTTCTCCGCCAGGAACAACGTCCTCCTGTGGCTGACGGACTGGCCGTACGACACCTTCATCCTGCTGCACAGGTGGCTCGGGTACTGGACCATCCTGCTCGCCGTCATCCACTCGCTCATGCTGTTCGGGTACTACGTCGCCGAGGGGATGTACGAGGACGAGGCGGCGAAGCTGTACTGGACATGGGGCATCGTCGCGACGGTCTGCGGCGCCGCGCTCTGGCCCAGCTCGCTCCTGGTCGTGAGACAAAAGGCCTACGAGCTGTTCCTGTGCACGCACCAGGTGCTGGTGGTGTTCTTCGTCGTCGGGTACTACTACCACATCTGGGAGCGGTACAGGCACAACTGGGGCTATGAGATTTGGGTATTCGTCGCGATTGCGGTCTGGCTCCTGGAGCGCTCGGCCAGGCTGCTGCGCGTGGGCTTGGCCGGCCTCAAGACGGCGGTCGTGTCGCCGGTCGAGGGGTCCGACGGGGACTATGTCCGCGTCGACATCGAGGACACCTTTGCCGAGGGCGTCGCGTACCTCTACTTTCCGACGCTCTCGTGGCGGTTCTGGGAGAACCACCCGTTCTCCATCGCGTCGTCCTTCTCGGCCCATGCGACGGACGCGGGTGGCAGTCTGGAGAAGCTGCACGTGACAGACGTGGAAAAGACGGCCCGAACATCAACTCGCAGCGCAGAGGTCGAAGTCGAGGCCAAGGCCGACTCCCCGTCCACAACTGCGTCTACAGTCACCACACGGCCGTCGGGCAAGACCAGGGTGACCATCGCCGTCAGGGTCCGGTCAAGCATGACGGCGCGCCTCGCCGCCAGAGTCTCGGCCGCCGGGGGCCCGATCCGGATCCCCGTTTTCCTCGAAGGCTCGTACCACTCCTCGGCCGGGAGCCAGCTGTCGCGGTGCACGCGGATCCTGTGTATAGCCGGCGGCGTCGGCGTCAGCGCCGTCTTGCCGATTCTGCGCCAGCACGGAAATCGACCAGCCCGGCTGTGCTGGGGCATCCGCAACGACAGCCTCAGGTCCGTCTTCAGGGACGAAATAAGCGGCCTTTCAGCCACGGTCGATGTCGAGACGCACGTTGGGTCGCGGATGGACGTCGGCTCCATTCTTCGAGAAGAGCTGACAGCGCCGTGTGGATCCGAAGACCGGGGTCCCATTGGAGTCGTCGTCTGTGGCCCGCCGGGAATGGCTGATGATGTCCGGAACACCATCTGCACCCTGGGCCGCAGTGCAACAGTGAGGGGAGGGTTAGTATTGATGGATGAAACGTTTAGTTGGTAGATGGCTCCTAGAGGAGAGTCGTAGATTATTATTATTATTACTATCATTATCGATTTTTTTTTTAAAAAAAAAAGATCAATTATAACAAAAACTTTTTTGTGTTCTTTGTTAGATTCAAAACGTACAAAAAAGCCCTAGTCTCCGTCGTCACAAAGGGGCCACGATGTGGGGCGCTTATCAATCTTATCAGATGACTCTTCGCCAAGCTAACGAGTAAAGACTAAAAAAAGGGCGCAATGCATCCAACTCGCTTTGGTAAATCGACATTCCGCAGCCGGCAGCACAGATGAGATGATTCCAACCACGCGTCTGGCATCAGCGCTCTGCTGGTGCCTCGTAGTCCGGCTTGCAGCAGCAAAGCCGCCCAGACGATCCGCCGACTTGTGCCTACAATCGTGCCAGAATGCGCTGGCGCCAGTGCGCTTCAGCGACGCCGAGGTCTTGCCCGCCAAGTCGAGGGTCGAGATGTGCCGAAGCCAAAGGGCCGTCACGTCCATGTATCTGTGCCTGGATATGTTCTGCGAGCAGGACGCGCGGGCCGCCGAGGTTGCGGCCCTGAACGAGACGTGTGTCGGGGCCGACATGGATGCGCTTCCTCCCATTTCCATCATTTCGAATTACACGCCGGGCGACATTGAGCGGTTGCGGCACATCAGGCTCGGTGAGACGTTTGCGCCCAACGCCACGGTGAAGGAGGTTGTCGTGCCGGCTTTTGAGCTTTACAAAGCGTGGTTTGACACATTGGTAAGGAGGGCTGTCTACTCGTGTGTTGTGTATTCGCCAGCGAAGCTTGAGCTAATGTTGGGGAAAAAAGGACGCGTACAGATACGTCACCCATCACCACTTTTTGTACGGCTTTTCCATGATTTTGTTTTGGTTGGCTGTGTTGGCTATAGGTGTTGGCAACAGAATCATACTCGGATGCATCCGCTTCTTGAAAACGTACCGACTGTACCGCAGCCGCCGCTCTGAGACGGCAACATGGGTGAAGAGCAGGATTGTCATACCCGCAACCTTTGGGTACAGATGCGCCACGGAGGTATGGTGCGGCACGATTCCGCCTCGGATACAGAGTCTCACAATTGCGGCGTTTGCCATCATGAATCTTGCATTTAGCATATTCGGGTACAAAATCACACCCGTCAATCTCTAGTATGTGCTGCCGGGTTATGCTCTGATTCCAATTTGACCCGACCATGGCTGACCTTGATAGTTTCTCTACACCAACGCGACAGTGGCTGCGCTACGTTTCCGACCGGACGGGGATTATTTCGTTTGCCAACTTCCCCATCATTTGGCTCTTTGGCATGCGTAACAACTTTGCCATTTGGCTTACGGGGTGGGACTTTGGCACGTATAACAACTTTCACCGCTGGGTGGCCAGGATTGCCACTCTTCAGGCTGTTGTTCATTCGCTGGGGTATACGGTGCTGATTCTGAAAGGTACGTCAGAGCTAATCAGGTGTATATTGGGCTCTCCTATTGACTTCGTCTCAGAAGGAGGATGGACATATTTCGCTTGGTGGTGGACGCAAATGTTCTGGCTCGCGGGTGAAGTGGTGAGTCTTTCTAATTTCATATGTTACGGAGACTTGCTGACATTGACAGGCCACGGTGCTCATGTGCGCCTTGATGGCTTGCTCCATCTACTGGCTACGGCGCCAAAAGTACGAGCTGTTCCTCGTATTACACATTGGAATGTCGATATTTATCCTCGTCACTATGCTCGGGTGAGTGGTCCAGCTGTTGGGCCCAAGGGCAATGCTAACCCTGTTAGCCACGTTTCCATCTTCAACGGCCATTACGACGCCTTCTTCTGGGTCCCCGTATTCATATGGGTATTCGACAGAGTCCTACGCATCCTCCGAATAATCTTCTTCAACCCGACGATAAAGCCCACCGTCGCCACCGCAACGTACAACCTGTCCACAAACATTGTGCGGCTCCACGTTCCGTGTCATTTCAGAGCACACAAAGTTCGACCGGGGACGTATTATTATCTCTCAGTCATCGATGACAAGCGATTTTGGGAAAGTCACCCGTTTACCGTGGCATCTGTTTCAGACTCGCATCTGCCAGGAAAGCCCTTCGGGGAGCAAGCCCCCCTCCTCGAGTCAGATGTAATCTGTGCAGAGGAGCAAGAGATGGCCAAGCCAAACTCGAAGTTTCTCACGTTTCTCATCAGGCCATACGACAGCTTTACAGCTCGACTGAAAGATCTGGCCTCGGAGGACTCCCCGCAGCCAGCGTCAATACGGGTGCTGGTGGATGGGCCGTACGGACACAGCCAGCCGCTACACCTGTTCGACCACGTCTTGTTCGTCGTAGGAGGCAGCGGCGTTGTCGTGCCCATGTCCTATCTCAAGGTCTTGACGGGCCGCAACAAGCAAACAACGTCCACTCACATCCACTGGGCGATACGAGAGCCAGAGTTCGCAGCGGAGGTACTGTCGAATGACATGGCAGAAGCTCTCGGCGATGCGAGTTTCGCCATCGACTTGTACTTTTCTGCCGAGACGGAGAGAAACATTGGCGCAAACATGCCGCCCAAAGCGTCACGGCATTATAGACGACCAAACGCCGCGGCGATTATTCTCGCCGCCGCGGAAGATGCAGGCGAACGCACTCTTGCCGTCGTTGCATGCGGTCCAGCCAAAATGGCCGACGACGCCAGAAGGGCCGTAACAGAAGCTTTGGACATTTTCCCTTGTCAGATGGAGTATTTTGAGGAGAGTTTTAGATGGTAGCGCGCATTAGACATGATTCACGATAGAAATAGACACGACAGGCAGCATTCACACTCAGAATGTTAAAACAACGTAGCGACTTGAGAAATATCCCATGATTCATATACTTCATAACAAACGCAGACAGCTGCATCAACCAAGCGCGCCCGCCTCACTGTGAGGCCGCCGGCGAACTGCCAAAATTCCGACACGCAACAGCCGTGATTCAAACTATCCCCCCCTTCCAAAACGGCCACATTATGCCTTTTGGGCCTCCTCGGCCCTCTGGGCCGCCAAACCAGCCAGCTTTTCCGCGGCGGCACCTAGAGATTTGGGGTCGGCGCCCTGAATCATGGACTGGCCATTGACGGCAACCTGCTTGCCCTCCTTGAAGAACAAAAACGTGGGCATCGCCGAGATGCGGTACTTCTGGGCCACGGCCTGGACGTGGTCGACGTTGACCTTGGCAAACGCCAAGTAGCCCGGCTTGCTGTGCTTGGCTGCCAGGGATTCGAAGATGGGGGCGATGGTTCGGCAGGGCGGGCACCAGTCGGCGAAGAAGTCGACCACCACGTAGGTGGTTGAGGAGAGGAGGGCCTCGAGCTCCTCAGGCGAGGTGATGTGCTGGGCTGCGTGAGCCATTTTGAAGTTGTGCGTAGTCTTGTTCGAGTACGTGGGTTGGTTGACGCGGCTGGTGGATGTGTGGCCTGTGTCTCGTACGTATATGCGTGCGAAGAGAAGATTGAAGCTGTCCCTTTTTGTTTGATGTAGGTTGTCGAGTCCCAAGCTGGAGCTGGTGCTTGCTTAAGTATGACGACGGTTGGAGGGGGGAAGCTTCTGGCGTGCTTCGATGAGGTGGGGCTTTGTAATCGGCGACTAGGTCTTAGAAATTGGCCACGCAGAAAGATTCCACACATTCCACATGGCTTTGATAGGTCTGGTGGGGCTGCGCCGGCCGTTCGGCATCTGAATCCATGTCTGGTTCTCGGGGTTTGGTGCCGCACTGTATGATTTTGCATCACGGGGACTAACCTTTTTCGATCTTTCTTTTTTTTCAGCCAGTCTTTTGGGATTTTGGCTGTAGCCGAGTGGTGTAGTTCAACAGTCAATATTGCCGCACAGATGCACACACCGCCGCCATGTTTCTTCCTTTTATGACCTGTAGCCAAGTGGCCCCCTGTTAAAATTAGGATATTTCCAGATTCGGAACCACCGGGGTTGCAGATTGGCCATGATCCCACAGCTGTGATACCATGGCATGTAGTGTATCTATATCATTAAATGACAAAAAAATCCATCACTCACTACCTGCCCCCGGCGACGAGCCACAACGTTGTCTAGCGCAACAGACTAGCTGAGAAGACTATAGACTTGACACCATGGTTCCAGCGCCAGTTGGAGTCGCATTTTAGGTGGATTGGAAGAGTGGAAGGACGTGATGTCACTCAATCGGGGGGGTTAATTGCTTAACCAATTATTCGGTTTCGATGTGGCGGTTTCGATCATTCGATGTGCAGTTACACTCAATGCCGGAGATGGCGTTTTCGGTGTTGGTTCATCCCAGTCGCCGTGCCGGATTTTACGTTAGTACTAGTAGGACATATTCACCTTGCGATGTTTGAGTATGCCGACCCCAAGCCGAGTGACTCTACTGTCTAGTCTAGTGGTTCCATGTCTAAAAACACCCCAGCCAGTACATAATGTCCGATACCCCCAAAGGAGCCTAGCACTGAGCAGCACGACTGGCAGGAGGCACCGGGCTGTCTGTTCAGGCTGGGCCCACCAGACCAGCCATGACTGTTAACATCCCAGGTGCCACCAGACCTACTAAGCACTACCCCGCCAGTCATCAATCTTCTTGGAATCACAACTTAACTTGCCGCACACCTTCTTTCCCTAGCTAAATTGATCCGTTGCTACTCAATCGCAGCTCGTGTGCGTCCTCTCATTGTTTCCGTCGCTCTTTTCTCTGTCACGATGCCTCTCATGTCAGATTGACATTACGAAGAAAGATTCAGACTTCAGAGACTTGTACGATCCTGGCCATAGAGCTGTCGTGGCAACGGCGAAACGTCAGCCGGATAAGTCGATGGAATTGGGCACATATTACAGCAGGAGATTAAGCGGCAGATCAAGGCAAATTCCTCGATAGCCGCACATTCTCTACAGGCAGTTAAAGCTTTGCTGCTGGTTAAAGCTTTGCTGCTGGTTCACACTGAGTTTTCATGAAAAAAAAAAAAAAAGGTCATCCTCGACATCAGAAAAACAAAAATCATTACGAATTACGAATCAGACGTCTGCATGAAACACCTCAATTCGGAAGTTGAACCCCCCCGACCATAACGTCTCTAGTATCACCATCTACCCTTTCAAACCTGAAATAGGTGGTGTAAATGCGATCTCCCGTGGCAGGCGACGTCCAGGAATACTGTCTCTCTCTGCACTCCAAACGCCAGCCTTTAGGCTCGCAAAACGACTCCATGCTCGCGAGATGATTAGTCGAATGCATAAAGTCGTATCCCGATTTCTTGAGATTCTCATTATAGACATCCGGGATTTCGTCTACGCTAATCGTGACGGACTTGTTTGCGAGGGCGAAGCACAGCACCATGACAAAGGAAAACATCTCGGGGCGCAGAAAATGCATCGACGAGAGACAATTGATATGATCGACGCTCTTGCCATGATCCACGTTGCTGATTTTGAGCAGAGTTGTCTCCATGGAGTCCGTAAAAAGGGCATCGTAAACCCCGGATGACCGGCAAATGTCCAACATCCCAGGGGAGATATCGCATCCTAGAAGGCGATACTCCTGACTTGCGGCGGCGACGGCGGGAGAAGAGGATTTCTTGCTCTCCGCCAGCGCTCGGCCAAAGATTCCAGTTCCACATGCGAGGTCGAGCACCGTTCCAGAGAATTCAAACCGATCAGCTAGTCGCCTGGCCGATTCAAGCATGGTGGCCGCTTGGTTAACAAGTGTGTCATACTTGGGTGCAAGGCCGTCATACGTGGATGCGATCTTTGGTTGATGGGACCACTGGTCCGGATGGCCAAGCATATGGTTCGCGATGAAGATGTTGATTACTGCAGGATATCCGCCTGGCAGACTGTGTATAATGGGCAGATCCTGGAATACCCCGTCCGGCATGAAGGCTGCCGGCTGGGGATTCACCTCGATGGCAAAGACTTCTCCTGTCGTCGTGGCGCGGAGATCAACATCGCACCCCATGTTGCTGCCTTTACAGCCGCTGATGGTGAATGCTTCCAGGGCCACTTGCTGAAGACGTTCGAACAAGGTGGGATTGTGCTGCTTCTGCAGAAGCTCGATACGAGTCTCTTGGTCGAACTTCAAGTCAAAGGTAAGGAACTTGTCCTTGCTTGTGGTTTGCTTCGTATTGTACACGAATGGCGTCAGGGCAATGCAGCTCTGACCCATTTCTACAACAGAGCAAGTATAGTCCTTGCCGTCTATGTACTCCTGTACAACAACATCGTCGTTGTCCTGGCTAGTAGGGTCGTAGGAGCTCGCGTACTCAACTGGGTCTTTTATACCCAAAGCGTGTGCACGTCTAACGCGTGCCTCGTGCAATGATTTGTTGATGCGACCAAGAGCCAAATCTAGCTCCTCTTGATTATGGCAGACGGAGTGTTCGTCGATCAGCTGGCTGGAACAGCCATTGGCCGGCTTGACGAACAGCGGGAAACGATCAGCGCCAGGAACGGGTGGTGTTCCGTGGAGTCTCGCGGCTTTATAGAAGTCATTCTTCGTCTTGGACCGTTCCCAGCTGCGGACACCGCAGGACGGCAAGCCCAGAGACTCGAAGTAGCGGCTGGCTAACGTGCCTGCAACAGGGTCATCGAGGGTGCCCCAGAGAAAGTTGAAGTAGAAATCGAACCCTTCGGCAACAGCAGCATCTATCTCTTGCTGTGCGTTGTCTTTGTGTATGAAGCGGTATGTGAATTCGTGCTGTGAGGTAAAGAGGCCAGGCTGGGATGAATCGTGGAGGTCTCCAAGCACAGAGTCAGAGCCCTCATAGGATGATTGGAAGACACAAATTCTCATGACGGCTCCTAATGGTCGAAAAAAAGTACTGTAGTTCTTTACTGGGATTGGCATAGTTGAGAATTCAGTTCCTGACTGTGGCCGGAGGATGTTGGTTTTTAAATTCCTATCAGCTTAAACAAAGTCAAATCGACGCTTCGTCAGTAGCCCTATCGAGAATGAATTGGCAATATTTATGGTCGTACATATGACCTGTCGGCGGCCCATATATGCAGCTCTCGCATGTTCTGTGACCCGTATCAAGCATGATTTTGACGATATGGCACGGGCCGTTTCACAGATATTTATAATTGCATTGCACCTGCGGGCTGTGGTGTTTGTGCTACAAAAAAGGGCTGTTCGTGTTCCCGTGTGCCATATAACAGCAACAGTCTACTCTGTATATATGTCTGGTGTAAACTATCCCTGTCTATGAATGCAACATGAAATATTACTCTTAAAATAAGTTTATATCTCTTGTAAAGTTTTTTTACCTTATTCTTTACAAGGTATATTTTACCAAAATTTTGCAACATATCTCATCAAGGTATTAGGGACTTAAGACTCTTGAAACTAAAAGATGATTCGCTGTGGTCTTGTATACTAAACTAGGCAGTTAGTAGCATGTCCAAGCGATTTTTGGTATCACAAATAGCACAACTCATCGTATCTGCGGACCTGTAGAACGTAATTGGTTGGTGTGATTGAGAGAAACAACAGCCTTGCCACCGAGGAGGTTCCTCCACCTTTGGTAGTGCAGCTTGTGATAGTTGGGATCCCGTTGCGTTATATGCCATGTAAGAGCCGTGACTGGCTGTTGCGATTTTGATGAGGCCCAACAGGGTCCGACCCGCGTCGAAAAACACAGCGCCTGTTGGACGACGCGACACAAATCATGTCCGCTTTAGGTATTGATGCAAATTGGCTGCATCTCTACACATATAGCCTAAATAACCAATTGTTCCATGACGATTACACG